ACCCTATTTTGCTTCCAAAAAACGGCCCATACCGTAATACCCCCTGCGGCGTGCCACGATTCGCCTACGAAGTTCACTCTGCACTCCCCCGTTGACTGAGGTAGAGATCCCAAGAGCAATGTTGTCGAACTGCACGCGACCGTCGACGGGGGTCCCGCCACTAAAGAGCTCCGACGAATGACGATGTGCCCCAGGGCCCACGAAGGAGGGACACACGCTGTTTTTCTCTGCATTGCGCGCGCACCCGCTGCAAGCCAGCTCCTCGCGCAAGAAAAGGTGAGCACGAGATAAGGTATACTGAGCATTTCGCGCAGACGTGACGATATGAGTGCGAGACGCATCGTCCGCATAGATTCGGCGGGATAAATCAAAAGGTCGCTGAAGAAAGGGTGCCCAGGCCGTGCACAGCGCTTCGCTGGGCCAGATCACACGATCAGGATCGCCAGGCGGCACCGGTGGGACCAGCCGCTGCGAGACCCAGTCCTCGTGAGTCTCAGCCCGAGGTGGGGCAGGAACATCGCCCCAGGTGGCCTGTCGAAGCCGACCCAGCCATCGCTGGACAGGGCGTCGGAAGGTGCGAGCAAAGAACACCGCCGCAGGGCTGTCGCCCATGAAAGCCCCAACCTGGTTGCGCAACGTCTGCTCGCCATCGGCCGCCTGGATCGTGAACGTCGCCAGCTCGTGCCGCTGGTGGAAGAAGGTCTGGCCCTGCGGCAAGACGGCGTCGCACGCCGTCTCCCGCAGCTCGCTGAAGGGCGCGCAGCCGAAAGCGTTCGACATGTCCTCCTTCGACGTGATCGTGGAGAGGCCCTTGGCCCGCAGGCGAGCCAGCAGCGCCTCCTGGCAGATGAGGGCCCCCTCGCGATTCCTGCCTGGCAAGTAGCCATGCTCGCGATCGGGCTCAAGGTCAGCAGCTCCACGACGAAAGAGAGCCTTGTACCACATCACGCCCATGCGGCACAAGCCGTGAACATACCGCCTAGCACTGAAGCCTGCCTTGCCATTGCACTTCGAGAGACCTGTGGCACGGGAGTGATGCCAGACAATCGGAGCACGGCCAACGCGTCGAACATGATGACAAATCTTCTGGATAGCTTTCAGGGCCCCAGGGTTCTCAAAAGTAGGAGTGTCTGCACCCAGTCCGCGGCGGTCGCCGGCGAGTCGATGCCGCGGAGCGAAGTCGGCACGCTGAGCAGAAACTCCCTCCTCGCCGCCGTCGTCGTCGCCCTCCCCGTCCTGCTTCTTTCGTGGCTTCCTGTGGGAACCGTCGAACCTGCGGTTGGGGTCGAGCGTGAGCATCAGCACCTCACACGGCACACTGTGGGCTGGCGCCGACTTCCTGCGCGGCGCACGCTCGAGCAGCTCCGTCACTTCCCTCAAGTCGCCCCTCCCCTCCTCCACGTGCGCAAAGTTATCCAGTCCCAGCATCGGAGGTGGAGGAAGACGGGCCAGCTGGCCCCTCTGGTAGGCGTCGAAGTCGACAGGCTCCGCTCGCAGACCGCCCTCGGGGCCAGGAAGAGAGAAATACTGCTGCACTTCGTCGCGTCTAGGCACAAACTCCTCAGCAACGTTATACTTCCTGTGACGTGGGCCTCCGCACTTGCCTGCCAGTAGGTGTGCAAGCCCCCGTACCTCGGCGTGACGGCGCGCCTGCCAAGCCTCGCCAATCTCATGGACGAGCTCCTCCGTGGCCTCCTGCAGACGAGAGCGCCGTAGCACTCGAAGCCGTCGCGAGGCCCTCGCAAGGGCCACGCACACCTGCTCGTCGTCGCCGTCCGCCTCGCGAATGCGACGCCGCTCAGCAAGGAGGCGAGAGCGCTCCGCAGCAAAAGCCTGGGCGCGAGGGTTCACACCCGCGCGCTTGCCAAAGTGCTGTTCCGCAACCCCGTGGACCGTGGTGATCCAGCGAGCCCACGCCTCATCTGGGGAGGAGGCCTGAACACAGAGATCGTGATAGTCTGGACCAACACCGAAGGCCCGCTCGAGATCGCGAACAAACTCCTGAACTCCAGTCCCGCGCCTGAGGGCATGGGCCAAGCGGTCATAGCCCCAGGACGTCTGTTCAACACGGGAGTGTGGCATGTCGAAAATATACTCAAGCCTCAGGAGCAAGGGAACGTGATCTTGCACTCCCTGTTTGCGGATCAACTTCAATCGAACACTCGAGCGAATCAAAGGCAGGACTTTCCTGACGTCGTCCGTCTGCCAGGCGAAGGTCGCGATAAAATCAATACAAGACGCGGACGAGGCGCCGAAATACGTAGGCCCCGTCGGGAAATCTGTCGACACCGCCCGCACAGCGTGGCGCTCCATGACCTCGAGGACGCGGTCGCTGGCGTAGTGCTGTTCGGCATTGCAGTATCGCCCCAGCGCAGGTGAGCACACACGAGCCTGGCCCCCGCCGCGACGGCGCCAGCCGAACGAGTCGTTCAGGTCGAAGCCCCAGAGCAGACTAATTAGCCCTGCGCGGAGTCCAGCAAAGAACCTGTTCCAACCAACTGCACATCACATCGACGGTCTGCTGGTACTTCTGATGCACCTCCGAAGTCACACTCTCCCTCGCGTCTCGCCGAGCTGTCGGTCTCGGAGGAAAATAAGTAATCGGGATCACGATGTCGAAACGACCAGAGCGCAGGCGATGCAGGGCCACCCGCCCCCTCAAGTACTTGGGGACGGCCGGCGTGTCCACGAGGTGATTCATGCGAAACTTGGACTTGCGAATCAGCAGCACCGTGCCGCACGACCTGTTCGAGTGACGGCTCGGCACATATCCTGAGTGGATGGCATAGTGATATCTGAGCGACGATCGTGTAGTGGCCTGATCTTGTGAGGCCCGCTCGCCCGTGCTGGCGAGGGCAATCAGATCGATCGTCGCGAGCTCCTCGCTTATGTCGTTCAGCCTCAGCTCATCCGCCCTCATACAGTTCCAGTGAACAAACGTGAGCATCTGAACATGGAGTAAGAGAGAGTGGCGAGCTGGCCGTGGGGGCCGCCCGTAGCGGAGGTACGGTTGGCGGTGTGCGGGGGCCTCCTGCCCCAGGTACGCAATCGCCTGGGCATGGGAGGAGGAGGAAGAGGAGGAGGAGAAAAAGGAGGAGGAGGATGAAGAGGTGGTGGAGGTGGAAGAGGGGGGAGGAGGGAAAAACGTCGCATTCGATTATCAGCACTGCGGCCCCTGCGCGCCCTGCGCCGCTCAGCCTCCTCTGCCTCCCTCCGCCGCCGTTCCTCCTTCCCCCGCGGCTGCTCCGCCCGTGGCTGGTGCTCCTCCTCGCACGCCCACGACCTTGGGGGACTCCGTCCTCCCGGGCTCGGGTATGGGCATGTCCCCCCTATGCAGGCAGATGCTGGGCGAAGCACTCCGGACACGACCAAAAGATGCCCCCCCGAGAGCCAAGAAATGCCCCAAATCCTCCCCTGCCTCTCTTTCTGCATGCTGGGAGCACCCCTCCTGCCGAGGCACACCCTCGACGTCAGCCTGGGCCCAGCGGGCGCCCCACGCCTCGCGGCGCCCGCCGGGCGCCCCAACGGGCGCCTCGCGGCGCCCCACCGCGCCGCCGCCCCTCCCCCCGGGGGCAGGGGCGCGGGGCACCGCTGCGGCCCCGGCCGCGGACGGCCCCTCCGCGCCCCCCGCGGGGGCCCCCCCGGGGCGGCGCGGTGGCCACGCCGTGCCGGGGCGTCGGCGGGGATGCGGGGCGGCCGACGGCGAGGCGGGCCCGCCTCCTCTTCTCTTTGTCTCTCTCTCTCTCTCTCTCTCTCCCTCTCTCTCCCTCTCTCTCTTTTTCTCTCTCCTCTCTCTCTCTCTCTCTCTCTCTCTCTCTCCCTCTCCCTGTTTTTTGTGTGTGTTTCCTCTCTCTCTCCCTCTCTCTCTCCCTCTCTCTTTCTCCGTCTCTCTCTCTCTCTCTCTCTCTCTCTCCCTCTCTGTTCGTATGCACTGCAAGGTTGCGGCAAAAGCTTTCGGGTAGTGCGCGCAAGGGGAAGCGCCGAGCCGGGATCGCGCTCGCTTGCCAGCGCGCTCGTTCCGCAGGGGAGGGGGCCGAGGCCGCCGCGCGCTCTCATCAGGGAAGCGCCGAGCGCGCGCGGTGCCCCACAAGCCAGCCGTCGGCCCCCCCCAGAGCCCAGGCCGGGGCAGAGGCGACCGCACGGCGTTCGGGACCCGGGCCCCTGTCCGCAGGCGTCTCGGGCGGACCGGGGCCTCCATGGGACCTCCCGTCCCCGCCCTGCACTGCCCGTCGTCCTTCCTCCTCTCGTCCTTCTTCCCGTCGTCTCTGCTTCCTCTCGCCCTCCTTCCTCTCGTCCTTCTTCCTCTCGTTCCTCTTCCTCTCGTGCTTCCGTTCTTCTTCCTCGTCCTTCTTCCTCTCGGCCTTCTTCCTGTCACTGTCCCGTCCCCGACCTCTCGTCCTCCTTCCCGTCGTGGCTGCCTGCGTGGTGCGAGAGCTCGCTGTTTTCCCAGCCTTCTGGCGGGCTGCATCACAGTGTATTGCCCCAGGCGTCTGCCCACACGCACGGCACAGCGAGCCGGTGAGGACCAGGGGAAGCAGTGGATCTGGAAATCTTTGGGCCCCAAAGTTGAGGAATGCAAAAACACCCCTACCCTGGGTTACAAGTGCGTGGTCTGTAAACCTCCTGGGAGCTCCCAAAGGCCAGAGAGCCGCCAGGACGCCGCGCACCACGCGCGATGTGCAGGGTTCA